GCGTTTCTGCCGATCAGCTGCGGAAAGGCCGGGTTTGGAGAGCGGCGAAAGGATTTGAGAGATCGCCTTGGCGTGAGGAAACGGGGAAACGGGGAAATACGAGTTCGTGTTTGTGGTGGGTCGAGTAAAGAGCGATCAATTCGGACTCCATTCCCGCGGAAGCGAGGAGTTTCTGGGAATCGTCGAAGGAGCAGAAGTTCACGCCTTCGAGAAGCGGAATGATGGCTTGTCGATTGGAGCGAATGTACGCTCGGAGCAAAACCTGCATGACGAAGGAAGGAGCGAATGCCAACGTTGTCGATGAGCGTCAAATCGTCTCGAATTTGCGATTCATCGTTCAGATTGGTCGATAAAAACCCGATCGTGCTGAATGAAGGGTTCGAATCGTTGTTCGAATCCGATTCGCCTCCTTCTTTCAAGCTCTCGAATTGCTGCAGTTTGATCTACGAAAATAACGATGGAATGAAGCGCCGTCTACCAACAATTGCTGTCTTCGCGTGTTGAGAAGCGGAAGCAGCGCGTCGATCGCCGCGTTTTCCTCCATTCGCGAAGCGAACACGCGCTTCGGATAGGGCGATCTGCACGTCGTTCATGCGAAGCATTGCGTACATATCCGTGGGCAAATCGTCGGGGATGATCGAAGGGTAGAGCGATAAAACTTGGCGCGTGGGAACTTGGCCGCGCTGCAGAAACGAAATGGCTTTGTCGTATTTCCCTTCGCTGAAGAGATAGAGGCCTTTCAGGCGTGCGATTTGGGTTTTGAATTGGTCGCGGATCATTTCCTTGCCGCGAGGAAACAAATTGCAAAGCGTTAAGGCGTCGTCGAAGTTTTTGTACTCATCGGAAATGAGAATATTGATCTGAGCGTTACAAACAAACAGGAAAAACACTTGTTCTTGCAGCGGACGCATCTTCAGCAGAATCACTGAAGACTGCGAGCAAACCACAACTCCGTCCACTACATCATCACATGAAAACGCTTCCATCGCACCCGCTACGCTCTCGGAATGCAAGCGACTGATTTCCATGGATCGGGGCGACGAAAACGGAATCATCTTCGATCAAAACCCGATCCCAGACGCACCTGAATGCGCTGATATCTCCACGAATTGTGGACTTCGATGCCGTTCGACGTCGCTACGATGAAGTAGGGGCAGAGATACACTCCGTTGGAGGCATCGCTGGACCATTCCAGATGCTGGCCTTTCTACACTCGCTAGGGAGAAGAAAAGGAAACGCCGCGCGCGGGAGAGCCGACGAAGTCATAAAACAGACCTTTGCGATCGTTTGCTAGAAGCATTTCGCCTTGTTCGCGCGTGTCGTTCTCTACAGCGTCGGATTCGGAGCCCAGAAAAGAGTTCTTCTGCTCGATCGGAGTGCAGAAGGGGACGTTTGTCGATTTACTAATGTCACAGATATCTTTCACAGATCGTCCTTGATTGATGTCCACAAGACAGTACTGCCTCTTTGTACCAACGAAGAGGAGGGAGTTTAAAAAGGACATACAAACGACTGGATCTGGAAGAATGATCTCTTTCAAGAGTGTCTGAGAGACTTGAAGACCGTCACGAAGCTGGTAAACTAGCAGTTTTTTCTTTATGGCTGCTACAATAATATGGCGACTTTCATCAAGGGTAAAGAACGTCGATCCCATCGAGTTGGGCAAGATCCCGATTTTATCAAGACTATCTAATTTGTGAATCTAGAAATGAGAGAAATGAGTAACAGCTTACGGAAATTCCCTTGTCTGTGAGAGTGAGGAGAAGATTCCATTTTAAAACGCTTTTCATCATGTAAACGCCTTTTTTCGAATCAGAAAAATGCGGAATCGTCATCTTTTCGGAAAAGTGGATTGGTTCGGCTACTACTCACTAACAATGGATGCAGATACTATTTTCCAGTTGGTAAACAAGCAGGTTTCCATCTTTACAGGAGACAAACACACGATCACCAGCAGCGGTCACTGAAACGATCTTATTCCTTGACACCGTCACAATCTTGACCACGTCAAATACTTGGATGGACATAGGTCAAAAGCAATTCTTTGAATGAAATCTGGAAAATGGTGTGAAAATTGGAATTCCATAATTAGTTGGAATGAGGGAAAGATGTGAAAAGCAATGCAGTAGGGTGATCGTTGGGAAAATTGGTTGGTCGGTATGTAGGATGCGTACATGACGTTAGCAGAGATGAGATGACTGGGAATGGAGTGAACAAGGTAGTGTAATTGACTGGAATAGAAAGGAAATGTGAATTGTGAAGAATTCAAATGGTTGATAATCGATTTATCACACGAATCGTTCCAAATGAAAGAATGGAATGAAATACATTTTGCTTCTGATATCGCTATAGGCTTAGAAATAAGTTAGGAAATGAATAGTAAACCAATAATTGGTGGGATTAAACCTACTAGACAACTGAATGTGAGCTAGGTTATATTGTATATTGAAATGATGCTGTTCTACTTTGAATAAGGAGATGATAACACGTTAGTATCCATATTCTGACAAACTGACAAAGTGAAGAACTAATATTCACAAAGTTGGATGTTGATGATGGTGTTTTTGAAGTCCTGCCACTTGAGAAAAGAGAGTGAATATAGCAAGAAGTATGGTGTACAATGTAATTAGGGAAGAAGGTCGGTTAGGTTTGAATGAAGCATCCAGCAGAGTCAATAATAGACTGATTTTTAATCGACACATCTTCTTGGCATTTCAGCAATGTTACTGTGGTGTTGAACTCAATCTAATAAATATTGAAAGCAAATGATTATCATAATAATAATAATAATAAATAACCAAGTGCTATGAAACTATATCTGTTTTTGATTTGAAGTTCTTGGGCATTAATGGATCGAAAACGATCATATAACATCTAGGTTGTTCTGAATCAGTTTTCAATGATATTGTAAGATTGAATAGTAAAAGATTATAATCCAGTTGATAAGTAGCAATAATAATCTGATAAATGAGGTCAGCTGGCAATCACTTGATAACCAGAATACGTGATTTTTGTTTTCACTGTATTATGTTGACAAATACATTGTTTCAATGAACAAACACAAAAATCAGGAATCCAAAGTTGGAAAGAATATCCATATTCGTATGCTATTATGAAAGTAATAATAAGTGGTTTGAAATACAGTCCTAACAATATAGGAAGCAGAGATAAAAACAATACATGGGTAAATATTACTTGAGAATAGTGATACTGCATAAACCATATCATGTGATGTAATTCTGGAAGGTTACAATTTCAATCATATTGCTTACCATGTTTGAGCCAAGCAGATGGAAATATACTCGCATGCTCGCTTAAATGACTATTCATGGAAAGTTTGCTGAAAGGCGAAGAAGGATGGGGAATTGAAAAAAGCATAATAGAGCAGAATAGAATCAGAATGTATCTGAAAGAATCACAAACGAATGGAAATCGTTTGCAGGATCGAAAAAAGGATTGTGATGGAGTTCAGACGAAGTTGAAGCAACTTCATTGTATCTAACCGAGTATCCCTAAATGTTGAATAAA